AAAAAAAAAAAATATCAAAATGCAGAACACACCTCGAAAGCTCAAATGCCACGAAAAAAAAATCCAGAAATCAAACCCGAAACCACCTTCCAGACCCGTTTCCTGACCCCATTCCGTCTCCTGCTGGTCCCCGTGCAGCTCCATCTGGCCGATCTCGCTAAAGACACCAACCAACAACAACATTAAGCAAAACAAGTCGAATCTTTATTCTTCAAACGACGATTTTAGCCCTTTTCCCTGTTCAATGATCGAAAATTTCGAATGATCGAAAGGGGTATCTTGCAACGTACGACAGACGATATTTTTTTGAACAAAAAACAGTGAGATTTGAGTGTGTGACTCCGAGATAAGTTTTTTCTATTGCCCTTTCTTCGAAGCCAGATAATTTCTTCTTCGAGATGAACGTCGCCAGGGCCAAAGTGAAGGATAATGAAAATGAGAGACTGCAAGGTTTGAGAAATGGGGAAGTTTGGGGAAAAGAGATTTTGCGTGTAATGGTTTCTTTCCTCGACCACAATTTACGGGATTCACAATTTCACATCACTGCAGAAATTCTATCTTTGACCTGCGGGATTCATGGAAAAAGCAATTCGGCCCAAAAAATGGAGAATAGAAAACAAAATTGTAAAAAAATATGGACACTTGTCAACTTTTGCAGTGGCAAAATTGTAAAAAAATATGGACACTTGTCAACTTTTGAAGACCACAAAAATGGACACTTGTCAACTTTTAAAGACCTATAACTTCTTCATATAAGATAAGAGAGATGTGTAATATTTATTTTTTTTGTAAAACGTATTCACAGAATACGTTTTACATGTAATTAATTGTAAAACGTGTTCTGTGAATATGTTGTTGTTTTTTTTTTTAAACGTATTATTAAAATACATTTTAAACTGTATGTTAAAAAAAAAAACTGGTTTTTCCATTCTTTAACAAAAAAATACATGTTATAAATATTCAAAACAACCTACTAAACAAAAATTACAGTAACAAATCAACTAATCTACCGTAAATACAATTCAAACAATTCCAAACAAATCATCTAATCAAATTCAAATAAAATAAACTATTCAAACAAAACAAAATAACAATCCAACCAAATCCGAATAAACACTAACAAATCTAGTTCCCCCACTCATCACAAAGTCTAGACCTATTGGTGCGAAGATGTGAGGACGGACACTCATCGACAACATGATCGGGATTACCGCATCTTGAACACTGTCCCCTATCATTCCTGCGGCGCGCCCGACGATCCATTTGCATGCGATAGCGTCTCGTTTGCTTGCGACTGGGTCCAAGCTTCAAGATCATCCTCTCCCAATGTGGTATCAAATTACATCCCACCGGCGCCCATGTATCCGCAGTACCAATTGGAGCAAAACCCCAATTAGAAAATTGAGATACCCAAGTCTCCGTCCAAAATGCATTATCGTACAACGACTTTGGATCAGTCCCGATTTGACGAGCTACAGCTATTGCATGAGTGCACGGTTTCCTGTGTGTTTGCCACTTCAGACAACTACAACGTTTCCGGGGGTAATTAACCTTATAGCTGTTAACACAAACAATGATTTATATATATAAACATCCAAATATTTGAATGGAAAAAAAAAACCATATACCTGTTTTGCCCTCTCCCACTAGCCCGTAGACCGGTTTTCACCTTGTACCTGGACATTTCAGTGTTCACACATGTCACATGATGGGTTGCAGTTGTACGCTCCAATTCCAAATAGGCGGCAGAGTGCTGAGTAGCAATGGGACTCATGCATCTCGTGGCCTTCTTTTGTTCCTGTTCGAACAAATCCAGAGTTTTTTCCAATGTGGCCTGTACCAAAGCTCTGCACGGCAGAAACCTAATGCCTTTCAAGACGTTGTTGTAGCTCTCTGACATATTGGTCGTCAATGTGCCTTATCTAAGTCTTCCTTCGTCTCCATACAGGATCCACTTGTTCAAAGGAATATCGAAAATGTACTTGTGTGCCTGGGGATTAAATTCCAACAGTCGCTGTTCTGTCGCTCGAAACTTTTGCTCCAACAACTGCAAACCCAAATCCCAACACCAATCACGCACTTTTCTATTTCTAAAGTTAGTGACTACGTTGCTTCGAAGGTGTCGAAGGCAAATCCGGTGATATGCAGCGGGTTCTTGCCAACCAACCAACGAGTCAATGGCACTGAGTATGCCGTTATCCCTGTCGGAGAGAACACAGATCTGTCGGTCGAACACAATATATTGCCGCACATTTGTAAGGAAAAATGACCAGCTATCCTTACTTTCTTCATCAACAATCGCATAGGCGATTGGCAATAGCCGCTTATTCGTTGTCTGTGCTATAGCCACAAGCAATTTTCCCTTGTACGATCAGTGCAAGTGTGTGCCATCGATGCTAATGACCGACGGGCATCGTTGGAAGGTCTGAATGGCGGGACCAAACGCCCAGAATACAAATTTGAATTGTCTGTCCTGATACTGATGCGCCGTTTCCCCACCCTGCCATTCCCACTGTACAACTGTGGTGAGATTCGTTCTTTGAAGCGCGGCAAAAAACCTACAAATTACAAAGCGGTTTCATAAATAGATAAACATAGTGACCGACAAACGACACATGTATTTGTAATTAATTTTTGCTTACTGAGGGAGTTCTACGAAGTTCGATTCCCAACAGCCATACACACGCTCGATGGCTTTTTTCCTTCCGTGCCACGCCTTCTTGTAGCTGACATCGACTTTCCAGCACTGTTTCACATCGGCCTGGATAAGTCTAACGTTGTACTCCAGTTTCTTTTCAATCTTGTTAATTACAAGATTTGAAATCATACGGGCGGTTACGTTTCTGTGGTCATTTCTCTCGACCCGTTGCATACAAGTGTGTCTGTAGTCCATTCAGTTAATTCCCACATTTCATGAACCCGTTTCTTAGTCACCCGAGCCTTCCACACACAAGGTTCATCTTCATTAGATCTGTAGACCACTTTGTATGACTTTTGATTAGAATCTATTATCCGAACCGCCCTCAGCCTATCAATGTTCCAAGCCAAGATACCCGATTGTGCTTCTTTCTTGCTCCTAAAAATTGTACCCAAACGTATGGTCTCAATGTGGCCATTCCAAAATGGAAGAGCATACTCGTTCTCATCTATCTTCGATGGCTCCCATTCACCTATCTCGCGATAAATGTGGCGACCACCACTGGGAAGAGGGTCTTCCTCTTCAATCAATTCGGGTTCATTCTCCTCGTTTATCGATCTGTCTGATTCGCTTTCGGAGGTCTCATCTGTGAAATCATCTTCACCAGGAATGAAATCTTCATCGCCTTCTTCTTCTTCTTCCCAGTTCTCATTTTCCCGTCGCATTGTTGAGCTTGTCCCTTCTCCAAAATTACGTAGATGCGAAGTCGACGCACTCCTCCGTAATATCCCCATACATCCTCAACCTGTGTAATTGCCTCCAATGATAAATGCAAATATACCATGGACATAGGAGGAAGGTAATAAATATACTGAAGAACACTATCGTTATTGAGTCTTAAAAAATTCAACGAACCACCGGGTTGGCTAACTATTAAAGTAATCTCCTTCATTGTCCAACCTTCTCCAAACCAACAATTTTCATTAATCATTTCTACCAATTGTTTATATGATATCCTCTCCGGAATAAACAATGAACCATCCGAACGATCTTTAAATAAAACAAATTCACTTAACCTTTCCTTAGCAAAATGCCAGTACAAATTAACAAAGTATGGACCGAAATACTCCATTAATACCTGTTGCAAAAAGACACTTTTAATTCTTTCCAATTACAACAACACATAATGTCTAATGTCTAATCCAACACAAAAAAAAAAAATCAATTATTTCAACTAAATAACCAAAATAAATATTCCCAATAAAATATTTCTCCAAAACCCTAATACCCATAATCAACAATAACATATAATTCATCTATATTTTGGATAAATTGAAAGCCCTAATTCTAACCCTAATTTCAAAAACCCTAAGTCCAACAACAACCAACCAATACACAATTGACAATTTACTACAAAATTACAATCTTCAATTCAACATATACACATATTCGATAAACAATTAACAACTCCCAATGTTCAAACAATACCACATTCAAACATACTATAACAATTCCAATCTCCAAACAACTCCAAACAATGTAAAAAAAGTTGAGATAAGCCAATATACCTTGTGCGAATGAATTAACCGAAAATGAGGCTCGTGTCGTTGTCGATTCGCGTCGGGTAGGGATTGGAATTTTTGGGTTTTAAAAAATATATTTACATAATTTTTTTTTCTATTTTACAAAAATATTTTTTAAACGTATTGTCGGAATACATTTTTCTAATAAAATTTTATTAAAAAAATGTATTCTGTGAATACGTAGTTTTGATTTTTTTTTATTTTTTCTTTTTTATTTTTATCCACTTCTTTTTATTTTTTTTTTAAATAAATAAATCACCCACAGTGTTGTACTAGTAAGATAATAAACACAAAGTCTTTTAAGCCAACGATAAACCTCATTCAGCACAATGAACTCCAAAGGATTTCACTCAAGATAGGTTTTCTCCAAATTCCAACTCCAAACTCGTACCAGCTGAAACAGTTGTATTCCTTGGAAACAGCAAAAATGTCATCTTCGTCGAACCTGTGGGTTTTGCTCGGCCTTGGGATTGCCGGAATATTGATTATGACGAAGAAGCTCAAGCGGGTTGTGAAAGCTGATTTTGGTGCGTTTATAGAGCGGTTGCAGCTATTGCCTCCACCCCAGCCTGCGCCTCCTAAAGCACCTCATCCTCTTACCGGCCTTTCTTTCGCGGTCTCTGACGTGTAAGCATCCTAAATTTCAGTTTGAGTGGTATAATTCGTGTATGTGGCATTGAAGATATTGGAATTATGAGTAATACTGTTTTATTTCATTAGGACAGTAACTTTTGTATTTTATTTTGTATTGCTGGTATGTTTGAATAGTTTTGGGTTCAGTATGGTTTTTGCCTTTGGTGATTGAAAATAGTGAAAAGAGAGTATCTATGGTGCAGGCTTTGCTGGTATTGGACTGGCTTAGTCTTGTTTGGTTCCACCACTTTGTTATATTAGACTAGGCTTCTAGTTATTATGGAGTAAATTCAATTCGATATTTATGGATTCGACAATGAGTATCGGCTTGGATTTATTGTGTCTGTTTTCTTTTTAGTGAAGGAAAATGGAGGATAAATTTCTCTTGCAGGACACTGGATAGGATTATGAGTGTGATACGTGTAGTTGAGGGTTTGAAGTTTGCATTTGGTTTTATCTTACCTATTTTTTTTTATTGCTGCTTCCTTATATTCCCAATGTTCCTGTCACATGAGCTCAATAGCCTTAGTTTCAATTTATTGACAGATTTAACATAGAAGGATTTGTGACTGGATTTGGCAACCCTGACTGGTCTAGGACTCACGAGGCTGCTACTCATACATGTCTTGCTGCTGCAGCCCTTGTGGATGGAGGTGCCACATGTGTCGGAAAAACCGTTGTGGATGATATGGCACTGGGGTTGTTACTTATCCCCTCTACCTGTTAACATTTCAGATTTCAAGAATTAGTACAAACATTTTTTTTTTCGTATTTTCTTTTTTAATAAACATCGTGCTTCCTTTTATTACAGTGTTACTGGAGAAAGCAAGCATTATGGTACACCAACTAATCCTGTCTCACCCGAAAGAATACCAGGAGGAGCCTCTAGTGGTGCTGCTGTAGCTGTTGCTGCTAAACTTGTTGATTTTTCTTTGGGTGGGTTTCTGCTTTCCATCGAAATATTTTCTTTCTTGCCTTATCAGTGTGTGAATGTGATAGGTTGACAAGTCTTATTATTGCATCTTTATATATGTTGCATAATTACAATGACAGGTTCTGGCAGAACATGATATCTATCCTCTTCGAAGCCTCAGTTCACATGTTTCATGAAATTAATGTTGGAGAGATTTACCATTCTTGTTCGGTGTGAGATTTTCTTCAAAAATTAGTGGATAGCGGTGTGCGATCACTCCTAGTATCATGCATTGGTGCTTAGGGGTGACTTTTATTCCACATAGGTTTTTAGTAAACATTTTTTTATATATATTTTGACTTTGGGGGAGGGATAGGGTAAATGAGAATAAGTATATAAAAGTTTTGGTGTTGTCAAACTGGTTGCAGATTTCAGTATTATATCTGCTCATCATTTAAGCTAGACGACAATCCCATGAGGCTTGGACCCATTAAATAATCTATTATGGTCCCATGCTTTGTGTCGCGAGTTGGCCTCAAGAGGATTAGCATTAAAATGTCAATCAGTTCATTGTGGTCAAAGTGAGTGTATATCCAGAACTTTTCAGGAGCACTTTCATTTGGGATGGGACAAAATATCTCTACATCGATTATCCCAAATAAATTTTCCTTATGTTTGATAATATCATGTTTAACCACTGCCCATAGTGATTCCTTTTCTTGTGGCAAAAAGGAATAACCATTGTTCTAATGAATAACGATGATGCCAGTCTGTGATAGTTGTAGAATTTTTTACTTTAAATACATTATTGTTTAAGAGATGCGTGTTATTGCTGCTTTTCCTTTTGATTTGGCAAATAATTGTTTTAGCCACACTTTAAAATACTTATCAATGTATGAAACCAAGTATTCTGTTTCTTGTGTAGTTATTTTTATTACACACAAATGCATGTTTAACATACCGCGTATGACAGGCATAGATACGGATGGTGGTGTGCGATTGCCTGCTGGATATTGTGGCATACTTGGATTTCGACCGTCTCATGGGACAGTCTCCCTTTCTGGGTTAATTCCTGTTTCTGGGAGTCTCGACACCGTAGGTGTGTATGTCAATACTATATCACCAAGATTTTAGATATTTGAAACTTATGACGTTGTCATATAACTTTTGCAGTTGCTGTTCTGTGATATGATGCTTTCAAGTTCTTGCATTATTTTTGTGTGAGCTTTTATGATTATTTCTTGCTTGTATGGTGGTGGTAGTGGATGGGATGAAGATTGCCAAATTTCTTTGCTGCTCAAGAATCGTGGCAATTAGCATTACTTGCAAAGTGTCTCCCATCATGAAATAGCAAGAGTTACAAATGTTGTAGACACACTGAAAGTTGCTAGGAATTAGGAAGATTTCTTGCTATTGCCTCATACAAGTTGGCATATGAACATCCAGAAACAGTGCTACTGTTTTTCAAATTTATGTCAAAAAGTTGCTTGTAATGTGAAGGCATCAATATTTTTTTTCTCTGGGGTGCATCATAACATTTATTGTTGTTTGTGCCTTTGTGGTATAATATTCAGGACTCATTCAAACATATTATCCATAGCTCTTTCTTGCCATTAAGATTAGTGTCATGAATTTTTACAATTTCAACTCATTGTGAAATATAATATCTAGCCATGCAAGTGCATCAACCATAGCTTTTCCTATATTTTTATTTCAGATCTTTTAATTTTCAGGGTGGTTTGCAAAGGATCCTAGTATACTTCGCCGTGTTGGCCATGTGCTGTTGCAGGTTCCATATTCTGCTCAACGCAACCCAAGGAACATTGTGATAGCAGATGACTGTTTCCAGTCATCAAAATTTCCAGCAGACCGCATTACTCAGGTGGTCATAAAATCCATCGAGAAACTTTATGGAAGTATGTCTATTCTTAACGCCTGCTGCAAATTATTAGTTTTATTCTTTCAGTTGTGCCTTGTTGTTTGTTATCCTCGATTACTTACTAGGCTCACCTTGCAGGACAAGTCTTGAGGCATGAAAATCTTAGTGATTATTTAAAGTTGAAGGTTCCAAGCTTAAGTAATATCAATGTGGGACAACTGAATGGTGAAGGGAAATATTCTCCAGTTGTATTGCTGGCAAATGCCGTGCAGCAGCTTAAGAGGTGAGGTTGAAGTAGCACTGAGGAAATTACCACAGTAATGTGAATGGGATCTTTTTACGTTCTAGAAAGAGTGATTTGCCACATGCAATGCAACTGACTATTACCATGTGCTTTTCTTTTTTATTACTTAAACTCTTGCTGTTCCAATTAATTTTCTTCTAGCTCTGGGTATACATTCTACTGTACAATCTGAGCTACTTTAGTCGTTAAAATCTGTCAGCTATTTTCTTTTCCCGGAGTTGAATAACTTTACAATTTAATTGATTACATATGGATGTGTCTTTCTGTGGCGCATGTGGTTATATTTGTAAACCATCTTGATATACGATGATGCCTCCTGTCATATAATTTGGCATACAAATGCCAAGTTTTCCTGCGGCACGGGCACAGTGATTATGATGTGGCGTTACTTAGTTCGTATAATGCCAAATGTGTTCATGTTTGTATGTACCCTTGAATAGTTCACCAAGATGGCTGCTCATGATATAGGGCTGCATTGTTAGGTATGGGAATAGTGGTGTGCAAGATGCTTTATTTGACATTTCATTCCTGTGCTCCGCATATTTTTTCATTAGTAACAATGGGACTGGAACAATAGATGAGAGGTTCACAATGCACTGAAGAAAAGGGCTGATAAGTTTTGTGGTGAATGGACCTGGTGACAAGAGTGAGAAAAGAAAAAAATATGGAGAGATTAAGGAACCCTACCATAAGAATTGGATCTCATTGTACGCCACGTCGTCACCACCCTCCCTCATAGTGCCATAAAATAATGAGATCGATCATATTGTACTCTATATGTTAGTTTAGACATGGATTTCTTACACGAGGACAAAGTAATGAAATTTTGCTTGATTTGGTCCTGAGTGAAATAACTCTTTGCTGTTTTTTTGCAGACATGAATTCAGAGAAAATCATAATGAATGGATCAACTCTGTAAAGCCTACTTTGGATCCTATTATCTCAGCACAAATATCTGTAGATTTAGATTTGACTGATGCAGACAAAGAAAAATATTACGCCATTAGGAGTGAATTGCGTTCAGCTATAAATGCCCTTTTAAAGGTATTGATCTAGCACGCTTTTTCTTTCACTGGTGGTGTATCCTTTCATATTCTGGGGAACTTGTGCATGGCCACTTGATCAGATTGATTCATTTTTTTTTTTTTTTTTTGTTTTTTTTTTTTTTTTTGGGTTATCTTCTTTTATTTCTGATTGCTTGAGGCTATAAGTGCATACCAAAAATGATGGTGAAATCCTTGACTATGCCTCTTCAGTAATTTTCACTGCACAGGAGTACCCGTGCTTGTAGTGTTACGATTTTTGGGTTTCTAATCAAATTGATAACATTATTGGTTGTACATTATTTAAGGATTTGGGTAATGAACATTGTAATGACTTTTTTATTTTAAATTATTATAACTATAGTTGTCATCGTCTGCCATTGCTTGCTTTAACTAAACTAATATATATCTCCATTGCTGGCCTGCTGTTGAGCTCTCAACTTTTGTTTATGTATAATAATCTGGTTTTTAGTCTGGCATTTAGTAGAAAGATGGTGTTCCTCCCAACTTTGACAAGTACATTGACTTTTAAAAACTACATTAACTCTCTTAAGCAGTTGAATGTTATTCTCCCCAGTGTACAATAATACTGATGATTGCTATGGTCTTAGAATTGCCTTTTGGTTGGTAGTTTGTTTCTCATGTGTCTTGAGTCTGTCACCATCTATTTTTTTATTCTAGTTTTGTGTGTTGAGGCAAACAATACTACAATCCTTTTGTCAAAGATCCTAAATCTAGCCAAATAATGCTTTATAGATATTGGCTTCAGTAGATCAGTTTTATAATTTATTACATTTTGGATGATGCCACTACTTTACTTATGCTTGTTATGTTTTGTTGGTCTATAAACAGGATGATGGAATATTAGTGATTCCTACTTCTTTTGATCCTCCTGCAAAACTTGGTGCCAAAGAGATTTCCACTGAGGAATATGTTATTCGAGCATCAAGTCTTTCAAGTTTAGCTAGTATGTCAGGCTGCTGCCAGGTTAATGTCCTAGCAATCGCGAACACTTTTCTAGTGTATGATTGGCAATAATCTATTCTCACTTAAGTTTTATTTTCTCATTGTAGGTTGTGCTACCTTTCGGAGTCCATGAGAGGTGCCCAATTTCTCTGTCACTCTTGGCCAGGCATGGAGGCGATAGATTTCTGCTGGATACTCTGCACTCTTTGTATGCTTCTTTCCAGGAAGAAGCCGATACAGCTGTAAAGCCTAAATCATCTGCTAAGGCTTTGACACAGGAAACATCGGCAGAGATGGCCAAAGAAAAGGTAAAAAAACCTAAATTATTTTTAATTTTTTCGTTTATTTTCTATTTTTCGGTTGTGGGCTGACATGAAATGCTCTTGTTTTGAATAATTAGTTAGTTTCATTCTATGAGCCTTCCTCCAAACTATGATGCCTTTTCTTTTATTAGTTAAGATTGTGTTTCTTCTTCTTCCTTCTTTTGTTGTATCCTGACATCAGTTGCTTTAGTTTCATCCTATGAGCCTTTCTCCATATTATGGTGTCTTCTCTTATGTTAGTTAAGATGATGATAGAGATTGAAAGGATCTGATAATTATGGGAAGTACTCAAACATTTATCATTGAGCTGAATGTAATAAGTGTGAGATCCTAAAATCAGTGAGCTCAAAATTAAGGATGATCATATAATGTTCTCTTTTCTAATTTACCTATTTATCTTAGGATATTAGCATATTTTCCCTTCCCTAGGGGATGGGCATCAAATATTCTATGAGAAGAATAGCTCTAGGTGCTGGATGTTTTTCGACATTCTTGGTTGTAACCTTTTACTTTCTATTGCATGAGAAAAAAAGCTCTAGGTTCTTCAATCTCTCTCTCTTTTTTTTTTTTTTTTTTTTTTGTCTCTTTACTCCATCAGATAATTTGTGAGATACTCAAAGGCAATTACACCTTTTGCAAATTGATGTAAAATTTGTAGTGACCGACCGTTCAAAATGTTGAAAAACATGACGAATTCTGCATTTGTCTTCTCTATGGACTTTTAGGCCAATAAATTACAGTAATTGAACGGTATTCTGGTGTTTCTCAGTAAGCAGTAGCTAGAATAGCTCAATCTTCAACATGTCGAGATTTCAGCTGGGGAAGAGTTAGCCATGTTATAACGACCAAGAGTAACAAATAAAGTTTAGGTTTTCCTTGTAACTCTCCTTGTCAATCATGCGCGTGTTACATCCACACATTCTTTTGCAGTCCATAGTTACAAATCAGCTGGTTCCCATTTCATTTAATTGTTATCGAGATTGTGTTTTCGCTTGATTGAGAATTTTGTTAAATCATCTTCCTGTCCTGCCTCTAAGCTGGCAAATAGAATTAGAGTGGAATCTATTGCTCATGTCTTTGTATGTTAATATAAAGTGATTTTGACATCTCATTAATTCCCTCGTCTCAAGGGCAATCAAGCATTCAAAGACAAGCAATGGCAGCGAGCTATCGGATTTTATACAGAGGCCATCAAACTGAATAGTAATAATGCAACATATTACAGTAACAGAGCTGCAGCTTATTTGGAGATGAGAAGGTAGTTCAACACACATAAACTTCTAGTTTATTGCACCATTTCGACATTTCTGTATGTGTTTTTTATTAGTTTTCTCTTACCAGTTTCATTCAGGCCGAAGCGGATTGTACTCAAGCAGTTGATCTCGATAAGAAGGTTACCTGTCCTTTTATCTTTCAGTTTGTAGTCACCATGCTTTCAGCTTTTGTGCTTGTGAAATCATATGAAGACTAATTTCCATTCTGGAGACCTTATAAGTTAAAGATTTACATTCTGTCCATGATCACCTCTCCAATTTATTCTTTTGCTGTTTTGTATGCCAATTCAAGAAATCGAGGAATTCTCTTTCCTTTGTCTTCTGATAGAAATCTGTTTGTGGCTTCTGTGTCTCAATTAATTATGAAGTATCAGTAGTTTTGATCTCCAAACCAAATTTCCAAGATTGACATGCTGTTTATGGTTTTTCCTCCTTTTATTCTTTTTGACCGCCAATTCAAGAAGTGAACGTATTATCACTTTTTTCATTGTTCTTCATTTGTGAGAGACGTATTAGTTTTGATTTCAATCCCGGCATGCTTGCAGAATGTAAAGGCCTATTTGAGAAGGGGAACAGCTCGGGAAATGTTGGGCTACTACAAAGAAGCAGTGGAAGGTGAGTTCACTTCTTTGCTTGTTAGCTAGTCAGAAACTAAAATAATGTCGGTAATATGGGGGGACATGTTATTGGTCAACATGGAAAATTACAGTGCATGTAATGTGATTGTTTTGTAATTTTTCTTTTCTTTTTTTTCTTCCTCATTTGAGTAAATTATCTTGATTTCTTTATGCATTTTGGTCTTTGTACAGCACAATGTGGTGAAATTCATGTTCTTTCCAGAGTTGAGGGTGAAGTCACTTTATCCAAGTTCTGTAGTGTCATTTATTCTATTTTTGCACAATCGCTGTTTTCTGTTTTTCTGCAGATTTCCAATACGCACTTGTTCTCGAGCCAAATAACAAAAGAGCTGCTCAGTCATTGGACAGGCTGAAGAAGCTATTTCAGTAGTTTTTTTTATGAAGAAATGGAAGTGTTCACATGTCTCTTGTTTAGCGAAAGAGGTTTAAATCCACCAAACGTACCGTTTGGGTTTAGAAGTCGAAAGGCTTTTTAGTTTAGGCTCAGTTTGTCATGTATGCAGCACCAGTTGATAAAGAGCCATTCTAATGAGCTGCAGTTATCAAATTTATTGTTCAGTGTAGAGCGATTTTGGCCAAGTGAATTATGCATCAGGACATTCAATTTTGTTCTCGTCGGGCTTCGTTGCCCATTTGCCCTACACCATTTTTATTTAAGACCAATATATTTCTCGTTACCTAGAGATTTGGGATCTCTGCCGGACCATGCATCTTGGAAAATTCGTGTTGTTGACCTTGGCATTATAAATTCGAGGAAATATTAATAATATCCAACACCCTCTTGTAATTACAAAAATTTGCGTGATTATCCCTTATTAATTGTTTGAAAACATCTAAATGATTGAATAAATGTTTTTTTTTTTTTTTTCACTTTTGTCGAAGATAATGTGAATTCATTACAATCAAACACATCTTGACAAAACCTCGTTCAAAAAATCTTTGTTGTTTCATTGAAAGATTGTTCACGACGGACCAATAATGTTTGTAGAAATTATTATTTTAATATATAAATTAGTATATTTTTGACGTCAAATGATTTCGAACAAACTCTTAATCAAAGATATTTATTAAGTATCTACACCAAATTATTCGAACACCAACCAGTTCCTACTTTTTATTTATGAATATTCTCATGGTGTGTGTAATTATGTGTAAATATGTGATGAATATAACTGCATTACATTAACAACTATATGCGTGATGATGGAGTTCTCCATCACTCGTACTGTCCTGAATATTATACATATAAATACGAAGAAAGAACAAACAATTTGCCTTCAAAGTGATTTTAAAATCCATCCATGGATTGTTATTTCTGTCTGGTAGTGATTTATCCTTGTTATAGATAATTAGTTTGTTAGTTCAATTGATGACATTGCTGTAATTTTTTTTCTATTTGATAAGTTCCTTTGAAAGGAAAAAATCTGACAAATTGCTGGGGCCAGAGCTCTATTAAACTCCAATGTAAATCTAGGTTCAATTCAAGTTCAAACTGAAGGCACAAGATATAAAAAACAATCACTAAAAGTTCTCCAGGAATAAAATATGCAGTACATCGAGATGATCAAGGCAGGATTTGCATTGTTCTCTGATTCAATCGTGCAGAATTTGTAAAACCCTTAGCAACCTATTACTAAAGTAAAGACCCATCAAAATTCATCGTCATCACCAGCAAAAAGTTCATCTAACTGTTCGTCTGTCCACTCTGGCAGAGATGCTTTCGTCTTCAAAAGCTGACTTTGAGTCTGAGCTGTACTAATTCCTTGAATTTCCTGATCACCATTTCTTGCAACAGATTCGTTATTCATATTGTTGGTTACAAAGTCACTGAGATTATCTCCTTTCACAAATTCTTGGCAGTTGCCAGCAATGCTATTTCTGTGCCCGTCTTCCTGTATTTCATCGAGAGCATCTTCTGGGCTCAAACTTATAAGCTCTTTCTGGGATCTACTTATATTGTTGGGGGCTCTTTGGGTGAATTGGACACTTTTACGTAAAAGATTTTGCGTCTCGGTTACACTACGGTTTTGCAAATTCTCTGAATTTTGCAGGTGCTGTGTCTTGACTTTTCCACAATGTTCTGGGGATGCATCTGGTGTTAAAAGGAATTATCGACAGATATCAGCATTCAATCAAAAACTAGCTCCAACTAGAAATGAGATTTTTTTTTTTCACGGGCACAATTACGAGAGTTAAAAAGACAGTTGGAAGCTTTTAGTTCTCGACTTCCAAGTTGACGTGTCAGTTAAACGAGAAAAAGGAAGAAAGAAAAAGACAAGACAAATGAAACAAAAGTAGAAAAAAGAAAGAAAAAAAACCGAGCACGTACCAATACCATCATCAGGATCAGCATATTGGATGGGATTTGCAGAGTCATATAGTTTTGAAGTAGAGGCACCATCTTGACAGAACACCTGAAGCGTTGTAAGAAAAACAGGCCTATAGCATCTATAAAATAGTAAACCCTTAGTTGTAATTAAAATAATAGAATCAGATATAATAATAGAAAATAATATAATCAGATATATATGTTTTATATAATTGCACCTGCACCAAATTCCCCAGAGTTATATTGAGATAATGTGCTGATCGTGCAGGAGCGAAAACAGCAACCTGAAACACAAATTCCTATCAGTAACTGAAATGACAAAACTACGCAGAAGTGAAGCAAGCACCGTTTTCTCGGATATAACCTGATAATGGCATTATTATTCGAAACTGCCAAGGAAAAACTAGACTGGAGCTATACCTTCTGAAGTATAAGAACTGAACCAATAGTTAATTTCTTCCCGAACTCACTTCCAGAGAGGACCTTGTGATGAATACTTGCACCAACTGTACCAGTAGGATCCTATGTTTGAAAATTACCAAGTCAAGGATTATAAATTCATCAGCACACATTAATCATGTGTTAACAGTTCCGATAACTTATACCTTCAATGACACTACCAGACCCCCAAGACCATTGGGTGCACATGATTTGATGACAGCGACAACCTAGCTCCAGAAAAACAAAACATCTGACGAGTAAATAAGGGGTTCCCACATTTATGCATGCAAAACATGCCCCATTTACTTTAAAAAAACAACCATGATTAATAATGTAAAAACGAATAGTTTCAAATCAATAACATAATCATATAGGATATGACACTTTTTTTAACTTAATATATCAATTTCTTATTCAATATGGCTCCATTTATTTCAGTCTGAGACTCTGATTCACTGCATTCCAATTTCGTCTCAAGTCTCAATAGAGCAGTGGCTAAGTTTTCACTTGGCATTCCTGCACATTTCATTTATCACATCCAAATACAGAAGGAAAATTGAGTGCATCACTTATTTAGGAACTACATGTAGCATATCTAATCTAAGTATCTAGCACCCTAGGACATAATTTCGATTTAGAATGCCTCGAGTTGCCTCTGTTAAATATTTTATTTAATACCTTATCAACCTTTTCACCATTCAGGCATTTCTTGATAGCGCTTATTGCCTTACTTTTAACAACACCGTCTTTGGCACCTGAAAAAACGTGAAAGGGGCCATAATTACACTACCATCCATTACACCAAACAGAGAAAATGATTGAAATATATACAAATATACAGAGATGCAAAGAATTAACCAACCCATCAACGAATCTATACAAATATACAGATATACAAGGAATTAACTAACTTATCGACGAATCGACCAAAGCATACACAGAATTAACTAAACTAAAGCATAACCCAGTGAGCACAACCATAAAAATTAAATAACGGAGCAAAATATCAATAGCGCCCATTCACATTACCCAGAAACTTCAGAGCGGAAATCCAAGGGTGGCTGTTGAAATCGTCATCAAAGTCTGACGTATCCTCCATCGCCCGCCGTATATAGTCTTGGGTGGGAATTACGCCGTCACAACGACCGCCTCCGTTAAAATTCTCGCCACTGTCTCTGTTAGGGTTGGAAACGTTCCTATTCTCACGATCCATATCTCTGCTTAGAATCGCCGCTTGAACTGCTCCGGCGGGTCCAGGAATTGTGCGGCGACGAGCGGCGCAGGGCGGTGGCTGTTCAGGCGATTGGGCGGAGGATGGGAGAGAAAGAGGTTTGGAAGCGGGGGATGAGGAAGGGCGACGCCGTTTACAAGGGCGGATAAGAGAAGGGAGGTCGGAGTCGTCTAGGTCTAGAGCTTCGCACGGCGGAACCTCCATTGTTTGTACGGTCTCATTTGGAGGGAAAATGAAACAGATGAGAAGGGAGATACAAGATTTAATTCGGGAAAGTTGATGGGCCAAAATATAAAAGAAAAATACTACAAATATATAATAAATGTACATGTGTACATAACACTCACACAGAGTGAGTTACACTTGATTTTTTATTTGAGAAATGCTATAAGTACATAATATTGTACATAGGGTGTACATAACACTCACATCGAGTGAGACCTACCAATAATAAAAAATTAATTTTTATAAATTAAAAATAGGAATAAGCATTTAATACAATTTACCTATACTAATTTATAAAAAATATTATATAAAGTTTATTTAAAAATAGAAATCAAAATTAAATAAAAATGTCTATTTAAAATTAGTACACAACCCGTGCGGTGCACATAACTAATAATAAATTACGTTATATCCATTTCAAAATAAGTATCATTTCAAAAATTTTATTCAGAAATTCAATTTGACTATAATGTGATTCTATAAAATAGTTATTTGGTAAAATATTATCATATATTTAACAACCTATGTGAATAATAAATATAAATATAAAATTTATATTGTTCAGTACTTAAAATAATTTATTTCTGTATACACTATTCAAATAAAAAAAAATAAGTAGCTGAATAATTTATTAAATTATAAATAATTAACTATTTCGTTTACGTCCAGTTACTATTGACCCATAAATTATTGAGTAATTTATTAAACTATAAATAATTGACTATTTCATTTACGTCTAAGTTAATATTGACCCATAATTTATGAATGATTATTTTCTTGATTTTTTATTTTCAATAAAAATCTTTTTATTTTTTTCAATATATTATATACCAAATTTAAACTATGCAACAAATCTATACTTATATTAAAGGGGGTACTATTTACCAAATTAAGTAGCCAGAAAAGTCAACAGTATTTATTGCATTATTATTTCCGTATTATACTATATAAAAGGATATTCTATTTACTACATTTACTATCCAGAAAAGTCAACTGCATTAAATGTCATTACTATTTTGGTATTATAATATTTTATTTATTTAATTAATTTATTTATTTATTTTATTTTAAAAAGGTAAGTATAATAAAAAGATTTTAATAATAAAAAAATCAAATACCAAATAAAAATGTACACTTTGACTTATTTGATTATATTTGGTATTTGATTATACCAAATATATTCCTATTTAGTATATACATTAAATACTTGCTAAAATATTTATTTGTTTTATTTGTCAAAGTTAAGTATAGATTTGTTTATATTATCAAATCATAAAAAAATATTAAATCCATATTGTAAAAAAAAAAATTCATATAATTTTATAACAATTCTACTACATTATTTAACAATATTTCTTTTTTATTATATAATAAAATAATAATAAATATTATATGGTGAACAATAATAAGTAAAACTGTTACTTTCTCTTATATCAAGGGATAAATTTATATGCTAAATATAAATTTTTATTAGTATAAATGTTTTAGTGATATAATATATTAATTATTTTACAAGCTAGCCCTAACATGCTTATATTTAATGTTTTAAAAGATGTAGAAAAAAAACTTATAATAACTCTATTGTTTTTTAGACTTAAACGTTGATTAAAAGAGGTAAAAATTCCTAATTTTTTAGACTTAAACGTTGATTAACACCATAGATTGAGAGTTTATATTTAGTAAAGTTGCTAATTCTAATAAAAAAATTATTTTTTTTGCTATATTTTAGAATATCTTTAAATTCATTATGAAAAGAAAGAAAAAAAACTACAATGAAAAAAGCAAGTCAGTTATATATCGATTTGTTGTACTCCTCAAATCAAATTCACAATTTGGCTACAAGGAAAGGAAACTCATTGATTAAAATATTATTTTGTCAGTAGTCTTAATGTACAAGAGACTTTAAGATTCCACTTGAATATTATAAAACTTTTATTGAACATTGTACAATTTCTTGCGTATTATAAATTTTTATTGAATATTGCATCTTATAATATAATATTCTCCAAATAAATATATCTCGTGCTTCGCACGTACTATATATATCCCGTACATTTTTCTTTATTCATATATATAATTATAAGTCTAGATAAATAGCCTTAAAATTGTGCACCCCGTGCATTGCACGGGCTCTGTACTAGTAAAGGTAATAGTTTCAAGTTTTGTCAATATATTATATTCCAAGTTTAAATCATGCCACTAATAAAGGTAATAACCGCAATATTTGACCAAAATTATTTTGTACATTAATTACATTAATTTAGGCAGGATTTTTCAATTTTTGACCAATAAAATTATCCAATTTAGTAAATCTGAATTTTTAGGCGGGAAACCAATTTTTTTTTTACTGATTTTTAGTTACTATTTCAAGTAAATATCATTGTCTCTTTATATATTAATAGATTTGACCTGCAAAAAAAAAATCATTAATCATTATATATTTTATATTTTTCAATTATATTATATTTCCAAATTCAAAATGAAAGTTGCAGCAGTTATTTTATATTTTTCATTATTAATTTCATCTAATTCGTAAATCTTACGGGGCAAACCTTTTTGCCCTACAAAAATTATTTAGTATATTTTGGTTGTCCAAGTAACATAATATTTCATAAAAGCACTCAATATCCAACATAATATGAATTCATAAAAGCAGTCAATGTCCAAGCAATAATTAATTAAGGTCAAATTACTATGAAAAAAAAATCAATTAATTAAAATAATACAATGCAGATAATATGTTCTAGTCGGTTACATAACACCATCCACATGATTTTGCAAAAATTAATATTATTAATTATTACAACAACAATCACGGAATTAAATATTATATAATTAACAATAAAATACATTTTTTTTGCTTATATATCTCTATCTATATATATAATTGCTAGCTAAGCATTACATTTTACCTCAAAATTTTTACATATGTGGCAATTTTCCTAACATAAAAATTGTTACAATTTATTATTATTATTATTATTATTATTATTATTATTATTATTATTATTATTATTCACCTTATCCCATTAATGATAAAATATTCTCTTGCTTATTTTTTAAGTTAATTAAGACAAAAACCATTATATTTCATATTAACTAAGTAATAAAAACGAACTTTTTTCCTCTTGCTTTTCCTCTCGCTCCCAAATATTGCCCGAAACCCTAGCCTCTAATCTCGCCGATTGACACTCCCTCACCAGAAGTCCGGGTCCGACGGTGGATGGCCTCCATCGCTCGTCCATGGAGTCGCAACCCTCCTCTCAATTGCTGCAGCGGGGCTCTGTCTTGAGCGTCGGCTATCGGAGAAGCTTCTCTATTCTGGTTGCGCGTCGGAGTTCAGGTGCCGTTGGCGTTGGTCGGGGTGAGGTGTTGGTTCATGGACGAGGCTGGGTTAGCTACACTTGGCTCTGGCTGGGACGTCGCCTTTTCTCCTTGCTTACCTTTCTTGTCGCCGGTCAGGACCGTGCCTTTCCGCCGGCGAAGCAGCGATTGGCCGGGGCCGCTTCCTGTTCGACATTTGGCTATGTCAATTGGAGGTTTGCTCTTGTTTCTGCTGCTTTTGTCTCGGTTTTTATTTTGTCTGTGATCGGAGGGACCTCTCGGTTCTTCCTGGGTGAGTTGGAATTGGCGGTTCACGATTGGAGGGCTGTAGTTACTGCTGGGATCGGTTGCCGCTTCTGGTTTGTGCTCAGCTGTTTAGTTGTTTTAGTCGCTTTGGGCTGGGATGAAGGTTGGCTGTTTCAGTCGGGCTGATTCGGTGAAGCCGAGACGTGTAGGTTTCTTCACGTGATTGGAGTGCGGGCCAGCTCTTTGATTAGTTCAGGAGTGCGGGTACCCGTCTTGCTGGGCCTTACGCAATGGCGGGCAGTTGTTTCGTGCTTGGGAGCCGTTGTTGGAGTTGGTTTGTCCGTTGTCAATCTAGATTTATCTGGCGGGGGAGGTTGTACCCCCTTTATGTTTATGTTTTTGTTTTGCTATATTTGCTGATAGGTTTGTGTTTCAACTTTTCGATTCTTTAGGATTGTGCTTTTGGTCTAGGCTGTTTGGCCTCTGTGAACTAGAGTGTCACCTTATTATCCCGTTGGGATCCGACACTCGGGTATTACTCTGTTGGGGTCTTCTTAGTTGTGTTAGTTGTTTTAGTTGATTAGTTTTAGTTGCGAGCTTTATTCTAACGTTGCTAGTCTAGGCGGTCTTCTGACCTGTCTTTTTACTTTTTTAGTTGTTGGCTACTGTGTATTCGCACATTTGTGCATTTTGATTTATAATATAATCTGTCGTTTTGGGGAAAAAAAAACTAAGTAATAAATATATATTTTTATTGTACCATATAATACTTATTATTAAAATTAATAATTATATTTTACATTAAATGACATATGAAAAATACATAAACATAAAATATTATATTGTAAAACTTTTTGTTCAAGTTATTTATTCTATAATCAATATTATATTTTTTATATAATTAAATAATTATTTTGTAAATAAATCAATTTATTTTAATGTCATAATAAAATTTCTTAAATTCGCTTAAGAAATTGTTATAATAAATTCAATATTTTCAGCTAATTAATTTGTCATAATCTGTTAAAATTACAAAAAATATATTATTTATTACATTTTGTGCAATCAAATCATTATGTATTATTTATTTTAATCAATGATCAAACTTTAAAACATAATAGCAGTATCTAACTTATATATAATTTTAATATTATATGCATAAATATAATTTATAATAATCTATGTCTAAATATAATACCACTATCTAACATATAATTTTAATAATATATATATACAAATAACTCATAATACATAATTTACATCACACAAATGCATAGGTAAATACTCCTTGTTATACTAATTAGGGTTCAGCTGATAGTATCAATCCCGCCTCTCTTCTCATCTTCTGTCTGTGAAATCCTTGTTAGTGCGCCACCCGCCACTCCCGTCTCCCTTTCTCAAATTCACGGTATTCACCAACCGGTTAAGCCCACCACCACCAGGCAGTCGCCAGTCAGGCACCAGCCACAAGCCGCCGTCGGACCGTCCCCGCCTCGGCCCTCTGTCTCTGTGAAATCCGCCTCCCCGTTTTTGAGACACAGCCTCTGACCTCTCGCCGCCGCTTCCGACCCCTCTCCGCCGCTTCCGACCCCTCGCCGCCTCGACGCCTTGCGGCCCCGACCCGACCCTACTCCACTGCAGATTTGAAGGTAATTAGTAATTACTACACTTAAAAAAAAATAAAATTAAAGATTGGGTTTTATCTTTGAATTAGGTTTGTGATCTTATAGTTAGGAGAAAAGCTGAATTGATGGTGAAGCAGAGGATTCTTGGGAGTTACTTTGTTAAATTAGTTCATTTAACTTGGATTTGGATAATAAATTCATCTTAAGAAATTTTAGGTGCAATGGTGTGCTTTTAACTATTTATAAGCAAGTGAAAAACTTTTCTGCTTTCGCTGTATTCAAAACATTCATACTGTAACCTGCAGTAATGACATAAAAACAAGTAAACAACACATAGCAAAATCTGTCCAAGTAAACAACCCATGTTGTAGGCAAAAAAAGGGGCCGGCCAGGTTGCGGGGAGATCTGATAGNAAAAAAAAAAAAAAAATCGATTTTGAATCTTATAATTTTTATTTATTAATAGACTTGTGTAGAACCCTAGCTGTTAGAAGCGAGAACGAGGAGTTGAGAACAAAGAATACCTTCGAAGTAGAAACTCAACACAAACAAGTACAGATCACTCTTAATTCCTAGCCGCCTACCCTACTCTTAGATTCTCGCTCATCTCTCTGCACAAATTGACGGTCTGCTGGACAAGATCCCTTTTGCCGGAATCCTGTACTCTTAGAAACATGCTTTATCATGTACTTGATTGATGACAAACTGTTAACTTGCTAACTTACTAAGTACTGTAATTGAATTTATCAGATAGTGCTAACATTACTCTTGAATATCTGTTTTCTTAAAGGAATTCCAAATCTGAAGCCCGTCATGAACTACTATCAGACCATGAACTACTCGGATGTCCTACCCATGGAGGCTGATGTTGACGAGATTCAAGAAATCTCTAACATGGAGGCCTCTTTGAGTGCGGTGGAGAATATCCTCGGCTACCGATTCAAGAACAGGAAGCTTCTCGAGGATGCCTTGACTCACCCTTCATACCCCGATTCTGAATCCTACGAGCGGCTCGAGTTTGTGGGTGATGCTGTTCTTGGACTGGCCATGGCTAATTATTTCTTCCTCAAGTACCCGAATGCGGACCCGGGCAAGCTCTCGCTCGTACGTGCTGCAAATATTAGCACAGAGAGGCTCGGGCGTGTTGCTGTTCACTGCAAGCTTTACAATTATGTCCGCCACAACGTTCCCAGCCTTCATGAAAAGGTTTATGGCACTTTTCTTGTTCCTAGTTTCTTTCGCACGTGTAAATTTTGATTCAATAACTCTTTACCCCATCCTTTATTGCTAACAACACATGTATGAAATTGTCTCCCATAAATTTTAAGTGCAAGAGTCATATTAATTACACAATCTTTCAAACAGATTTGATTTTTCACCTTTTATGTATAAAATAAATTGTACTTGAAAAGTATGCTCATTGCAATGTGACGGTCTTATTGTAGTTTCTTCAATCTGTGTAATTTTAAGAGCTCTTGTTTCTTATCTTTCTGAATTTGTGTTTGTTAGTTAACTTATTGGTGTCCTATTATCCATGTATAAGATGTTCAGGAATCGCTCCCCTATTTTGGAACTGCAGTTGTTTTCTTTTATTTTAGTTGTTTTGGCTTATTAGGTTCGAATGAGGACTGATGCCCCATGTGAATTCTTGTGTTTGATGCTTACTTGAACATTTGTCTCTACTTGGGGGGCATGGCTTTGCTGGAGCTGAAAATGGTAAAGTTGGTTGAGTTATCTAAGAAGCACATGATTTCGTGTACCTTGTCATGGGTTCAATGATGGCTAATAATTCATAGGTGCATGAAATGTACCAATGTCTTTTGTTATGGCCACCAGCTAAACACAAAAGCGCATGCATCTAAGAGTTATTTATTGCTTACATTGCCCATGGAAACACGTGCTTGTTAGGAAGCTAACACAATTTTTTCACTTTGAGCTCTATCAAAATCATTGTCCTTTGTTTTATGAGACTTCGATCGAAATTGAACCAAACCGACCGAATTTTCGGTTAATTATAAGAATCGAAAATCGACCTCAAATTTATGATTCAGATTCAGTTCAGTTTTTAATTGAAAATCCAGCAGTTGGTTCGCTTCGGCTATCAATTAATCGCAATAAATAATTAATCTTTTCAATAAATTTTGAATTTTTATTCGATCCAAAAATTTGATTTTTTTATCCGAACCAAAAAATTTGATTTTTTATTCTCTTCTTTAATTTTCTCAATAAATTTCAAATTCTCCTCTAAGGAAGATCTCGGACGCGAACCATGACTTGTTCTATGACGAAGCCAATCTTTGAGTGCAAATTAATGCAGAGTCATTTTAGGGGTAATTGAAACTCGAAAATCATCCATCATTGAAGCAAAATTAATGCTTTTATAGCTTATATGTATAAATAAACAAATATATATATGTGTGTGTGTGTGTGTGTGTGGATAAATTGCTTTTTGGTTCGATTCGGTTAACTGATCACTATTATCCAAACCGAACAGAAAACCGAAATGGGAAAGCCCCAAAATAAAGACATTTTACGTACGTTTCTCTTCACAGATAATTGAAGATAATTGAAGTGTGATCCACACCTAAGAAAATGTAAACCGAAAACCGAACCAAATATTTAGTTTCGGTTTCGGTCCAAACCGAATTTTCAGTTTCGGTCGGTTTGGCTCGGTTAACCGAATTTTGTGCACCTAGCTCATGGAAACACGTCGTCATGTGCTTGTTAGGAAGCTAACTCAATTTTTTTCACTTTGAGCTGTCCCAAAATCGTAGTCTTTTGTTTTTTGGTGTTTTAGGTAAGAAAATTTGTGATGGCGGTAGAAAGAGAGGATGAGGCTGAGATTTATGGAGGCCTGGTGAAAGCTCCGAAAATTCTTGCCGACATTGTGGAGTCAATAGCAGCTGCTATATATATAGACTGCGACTTCGATTTGAAGGCCTTGTGGATCGTAAGTCACTTGCTTTTGTTTGTCTGTTTGATTGGTGTACTTCTTGGATATGCTTATCTGTTGATATGATCTTTATAATTTATAATGATGATGATAATAAATAGATTAAATTTAATATGAATAGTTACTTGATATGAAATTTATTTCATAAAATGTTAATCGACGAAGAAACTGAAGTTTCTGAAATATAACCTAACTTTTAGTTAAATTAGAAGAAATAATTGATAGCCCATTTGTTGTGCAATATATATTGTTTTGTGGTGCTTACTTGTTCTAACTAACACGTTACAACATGTATCTTTAATCAGTTTTGCAGTGCTAACTAGTTCAATTAACGCAGTATATCATGCATCATTAATCAGTTTTGCGGTGATCCTTTTTCAATTTTTATGAGATTACCCAATCATTTCTGTACAACTCTCGTAAGTTGCTGTTGAATTCTCTTTTTGTGTAGATATTTGGAAAACTTCTAGAGCCTCTGGTAATGCTCCACGTGCTAGAACAACAACCACAGCCTGTTACTATGTTGTTCGAGTTATGCCAAAAGGACAAAAGGCGAGTTGATATAAAACATTGGCGAGAAGGAGAAAAAAATATAGCAGGTGTGTATGTTGATGGCACTTTTGTGGCCTCGGCTTCCTCTGAGAAGAAAGAGAATGCAAAGCTACTAGCAGCTAAGGTAGCTCTTAAGGAATTGCATTATGAGGACTCGTCTACCCCTCTCGATGACGGCAATGAAATTGGAGCAAAACAAAAGCTACACGAGCTGTGTGGAAAGAAGAAATGGGGTAAACCAATTTACAAGTAAGCCTTTTTTCCTTTAATGAGATTTTCATAGTGCAATTACTTTCTTGTGTTGTATATACATGTTGCATAGCACTTATCTTACTGGTGTTTTTCTTATTCGAGTTTAGTTGGGGCACGTTAAAAATGTTTCTGTAGTTTTTGGCTTATTGATTTGCTTAAGAGGTTCCACAAGAAGAATGGATTTAGAATGGATTTAGAGTACTAAGTAAAGATGATCATTTTATTATTTGATTATTTGTGAAGATTAGTCCATTGCAAGTCAAAGATGTATAAAACAATACAGAAAGTCCTTTTTGCCTCTAACCAGGAAAATTCAAAAAGTGCAGTGAGTGAAAAGAGGAAAACAAAATTCTTTCAATCTGTTTTTGTTTCTTTTGCCTTTCTGTTTTCTCGTAATCTATTAGTTTTTGTGACAAAAGTTGAATTTTGCAGAATCCAGAGCGAGGTTGGCCGAGCTCATGCGAAGAAGTATCAGTGCTCTGTAGAAGTTGAAATAGCTGAGGGTATTCTCTTTGTGGAGGGGGTTGAAAAAAACCGTGTGAAGGAAGCGGAGAACTCTGCAGCTTATTTGATGCTTTGTGGTATGAAGGAAAACAATTACATTTGATTTTTTTTCATGCTTTGTGGTTTTGAAGGAGAAGAACAATTACATTTGATTTTTTGTGTTTCTTCTTGTAAAACTAAGTTTTAGCTGAGGGTGTAGCGTTGTAGTGAAAAGGAACTTATGTTGCATTATCTAACCCTTGTAAAATCGATTACTGTTGATTAGTTTCAGTAAAGACTTTGATATATATATATATATATATATATATATTTGTGTGTGTGGCTATTTGAAGTGGTTACTGTCTTCATGAATGTAGATGTACACAGCTCAAGTGAAAATGTTGATATATGCTCTTTTATATAAAGGAAAAGGACAAAGAATCAATACAGTAAAACCAGGCAGTTGGGAATACTTTGGTGAATTCTGTTTTTTATTCTGAATTCAGTAAAAGTTACATATACTTTTTAACTAATTTTTTTCCTCACTTGAAATATATTTTTGTCCCCTGTTTGCTAGAGCATACTGAATAAGGAGGAAGGAAACTATACTAGAGTAACAAGATTGTATACGCATATAAGATGAGAATTTAAGTAATGGAAATGAATGTAACATTCCATGTGGCATGGAAAATGGCTTGGTGGACCGGCTTGAGCGGTTAGCTTGGGTACGGCCAGTTCAAGGAGCTTAAGCTTGATTTATGCAATTTAGGAGCTTAAGCTTGATTTATGCAATTTAAAGATATATTGTATTGGTTAAATACCTATAAAGATGTGGTAAATAGATATATAAGTAAGTATGTGTATATTCAGCACAATTAGTTAGTTATTCTGGAGGATCGGATGAACATTAAGAAAATTTCTAGTCTTCAGTAAGTTATTAAGTACCTTATGGGATCCAAGTTCAATTCCTAACCTAAGCTCTCAATAAATCTCTTAATTATACGCTTGGGATATAAGATTTATGACTTGAGCGTCCAAGTGTCTACGTACGAGACTACGAGGCGGTTCAACCGACAATTTTGGTGAGTCGATATTTCGGGCACATCAAATTGGCGTCCATCCAGTTATTGACATTGTATGAATACAAATGAAACTAACTATGCACTGAACAATAACCAAATCTGCATTTGGTAAGAACTAATTGCCAGTTATTCATATTGTATGCATAACAATGAAACTAATAGGGATGAAAACGGAAATGGTAATTTCCGATTACCGAGAATCGTTTTCGAAATTTTTTCGGATTTGGAGGCTAAACGGAAACGGTAACGGTAACCGGAAAAACGGAAATGAAAACGGTAAAAAAGTTCAAAAATGAAAACGAAAACGGTTTAGCCCTTTTCCGATCGTTTTCGAAAATTACCGTATTTAAACGGTATTTTACCGTCGATAATACCGGCCCAACTCATACTAGGCTCACTTTTAATTATAAAGCTCAATCCAAATCCCAAATGGGCCAAATGCCCAAATCCCCTGCAGCCCAACACTGTGCCCAAATCCTGAAATCCCCTTCACCCTTTCGGTCTTCACTCTCGAAATCCTGAAATCCCCTTCAGCCCAACCCTGTCATCTCTTCCATCGGCCGACGGCCATCGCAATTCGCCGCGCCTGCTCGTCGTCACTCCCGTCACCTGCTCGTCGCCGCCGCGCCCCACTCCCATCAACGTCGCAACCGCACCACCCGCTACAGGCTCCAGCTGCCGCCGCCTACCCCACTTTGAATTCACGCCAATAGTGATTTGTGTTTTGAATTCTGGATTTCGTTTGTTGTGGTTTTTTTGTGGATTTGGTGGTTACATGGTTGATTTCTCACCTAATTGCTCCCATTGCTCCCATTTCATGTTTCAAATTTCAATTGCTACTATTATTCCATGAGAATTTGATGGACAAGTCACAATTCAATTGCTAGGTATTGGAATTTGTATGGATTTTGTTATAGCAAATGGTGTGGATTTTAATTTGGATTTTGCCACTATTATGCCGTGAGAATATTTCAATTTATGTTTTAATGCTATATTTTATAATGTGGTGTGTTTATCGTTTTTTAAATACCGTTTTAATATATTTCGATCGTTGTCGATGTATTTTCGATCGGATAGTTTCGTTTTCGATATTACCGGAATACCGATGTCGTTTTCGTTTCCGACATTATCGTATCATTTTCGTTTTCGACAAAAAAATATGAAAGTGGAAATGGTTGAGCCCTATGCCGATCGTTCCCGATCGTTTTCATCCCTAGAAACTAACTATGCAGTAAATAATAACTAAATAAGCATTAGTAAAAACTAAATGTGCATTCATTCAGTTATTCACATTGTCTGCAAAAGGATTAAACTAACTATGCACCGAATACTACAGAAATTCTATGGCGCCCATATGGGCGCCATAGAATTTCTGCCGAATACTAACTAAATATGCATAACTAACAATGCATATATTAATTACATCATAACCATTGTATAAATCAACCACGGCTCAAAACAACAACCATAATTTAAAAAATACATACAGCTGTTCGTCAAAATATTAGGGTTTAATAAACAAACCAACGTTCAATAATAAGAATAGGTTTTCGATTTCTGTGCTCACTTCAGTAATGACGAAATCACATTCTACACAACATTTCAAACATTAAAAACAAAATCAGTAGGTATTAAACCCTATCCTAAAATTTTAACTATGAAACTGTGTGGAGGGAAAAAAAAAAAAAAATAATAATAATAATAATAATAATACTTACTGCGTTGCTTTCGAAGATTTTCGTCTAAGAACACATGGTACGGCTATAGGTTTGAGAATTATCGGCGAAAAGAGTTATTTTGTGAGAATTATCATGTAGAGAATGATGAGAGAATCAAGAGAGAACATGAGGGAGAGATATGGTGCAGTTTTCAGAAAAATTGAAATAACAAGTGAGAGCTGCCACGTGGAAGTTGAGATTTAACTGATAAATCTTGATTGTTACATTAAATTATTAATCAATGTGTGAGATTGGATCTCAGACTAAATCTCATGTAATATTTGTATTCATTGGAACCAATCTATATATAGATATATATTTACAATATTATGGCGGTTACAGAATAATTTAGTAATTATCAATTGTTTTCTATTTACAATGTAATATTTTCAACATTATCAAGGTTTAACAAAATTCAATTTGGTTAAAAAGATATAATTATTGTGCCATCAAAGAATATAACTCTAATGTAACATATAATTACAACGATAATTACAACGATTGTTGTCTTCATCTTTATGAAGTAGATAAGCTTTTAGAAAAATGTTTAAAAAAAATCTGATTTTCTTAATTGAAGTAGTTAATAATGCATCTTTTATAAATATTTAAAATATAAATAAAAATTTTTATCTTTTTTTTTTAAAAAATATTTTCTGTATAAATTACGGTGTTGTATTAGTTCCAAAATAAACAATAGTTTAGAAAATAAAAAATTAAATACCAAATGGGACCGCGTGGATGAACAACAGTACAAGTATAAAATGAAAGCAACATGCGGCCGTTGGTCGATTTTGTTTTCTACGGAGTGTTTTATCACGCAAGATAGACTAAAAAAGAAGCGGGAATCCCTGAGGAACTTCAATTTGTAGATTTAAGAATTTCTCACTGCTCTCTCTCTCTTCTCCGTAAAGTTTTGGAGATCAATACCATGGAAGAAGTCGATGAAACTGACGCCGAGTCGCAGGTTTACTTCCGATCACTGTTTCCTAATTTGCTCAGATTATAGATTGTTTTTATCCTTGGGTTCTGTCCTTGGTTTGAGAAGAACAGTATAGCATCAGCGGAAATTGTATTCGAGTTTTGTAGCCAAGAACAAATTGTCTATTAATTGAGGATTGTCTGAATCTGAGTTATTTTCTGGCAGTTGTGAACTAATTACTGAATTGATGGAGAGTTATTATCTTTGGTTGAAATGAGATGTAATATGAGCTTTAGGAGATTGTTTAATTAAGTTTAATCTTAGTGGCTGCAGAATGAGATAAAGATATAGCACAAGGAAAAAGAACAAAGGAATTGGAACGAAAAGTATATTTGTCCGCATAGTTAGATCTTGGAAGTGCTGTATCTCATTGCCAAATGTGTTTTATTGAAATGATTTGCTAGAGATCTGATACTGAAGCCACTCTTCAATTTCATGTATTAAGTGTAGAAGATGAATAGCTTGAGACAGGAACCTTTACCAGCATTTGGGAGACATAGAGGGCACAGTTAGAGAACCAAACATGCTCGAATTAGTTAACATTTGAGATTTCGGCTTGTTTATAGGTGAAAAGTTTGGATGTTGTCATGTTGTATTTAAGTTTATACGCCCCACTTTTCATCTCTCATGGTCTATTTTACATTTTACTTGAACGAACTTTTGTGGTGTGCTTCTATTAATGTGATCTGAAGTATTTTTTTTTTTTCTTTTTTCATAAATAGTTATCTTTATTGCATTTTATGTTACAGGTGTATATGGCATGCATCATGTGTGGCCGAAGGTAATTGTTTTGTTGCAAATACATGCTTTAATTATGATGTCTTTGGAATAGTTAATGTAAACATAATTCTTTGTACAGAGTTGGAATCTCTTATTATGATTCCAGTATTTGCCAGCTCCATGTTCTGGAATTATGGGAAGATGGCAATGAAGATTTTCCATTGGTTGAAATGGGTACTTGAAACATAAATTTTAGCCCTGGTTTCATGTAACTTCAGCTTCAACCTCAACCTTGACTTACTCACTATTAATGCAGTCAAGTATCAAGCCAAGCCTTGTATCATCTTTACCAGCACCAAGAGTGAATCATCATTCTTGGCTGCTTTGCAGAAAAACGGTACACTTTTCAGATATCTTATATCTCATTCTTGCAGTTGGAACATTTTTTCCCTGTCTCCTTCTCTCTCTCTCTCTTAATAATTGATGGGTTAAACAGATGGAAAAGCTGAACCTCCAACAGTAAAGCTTGTAAAGAGTTCATTATTCAGCTATGAGCAAGCATGGCACAGGTAAAGAAATTATAAGGAAGCTTTATGTCCATATTTCTTCCAGTATGACGTGTACTTGTTGATTGATGAATTGAGGTGATGTGATTCTTCGAATCTATTGGCTGCTGCATTATATGTGCTTAACAATTTCAGATAACAGCTCTGGCAGAATTTTTAATTTGTAGTTCATATTTCCTTATAAAAGATCATGAGCGTCCATGGTCTATAGTTTTGAATTGCACCTGCAAAATCATATCTGTACAGATGAAGCTGATAAGTTAAGGAATTCGAAAAGGTTTTCCATTTAGCACTACAGATCAAGTTTTATTACTCATTATACTTTCTATTCATGTTCTTCTTCGAGAGTGAACTTTCATCTCTAGTTGAGCGTGTGCACAAGCTGATCATTATGTTGAAGTTGGAAAGTGCATTATATGAGATCCTGTATAAGGATGCATGCCCATCATATTTTAAATAAGTAATAAAGTCCCAGAAATCATGTTATGGCATCTGGTCGTTTGTAGGCACCTGTAGGATGAGTATTCAAACAGCATTAGATATATGTTCTGTAGATCTTGTGGCATATGAATTTGTTATTTGGAATCTCTATCCAACTCTCTTCCTTTTTTCTATATATATTCTCTTCTCATAACTGAACTCTTCTACTAAATCTCTTTATGGTTATCTGTATTTTCATAAAACAGACTAATGTACTTGCGGGTTACTGGAATGGATGAAGGATTGAACATCAAAGAGAGGGTCTCTTTTGTAAGTTGAATACTTGGTGTTTGACATAAACATTGTTTGTCCATCACCTTCCTCAATTTTCTGAGCATGCCAGCTTTTTTGTAATAGTGGCGACTAAGTTTCATCCTGTTGCGTGATTCTGTTCCGTAGACTGTTTATACTTTCTAGGAGCAACTTATGTCCTAGAAAAATAAGAAGAGAGAAACTTGATGTTGTGTATGCCGTGCAACACCAATAATAATGCTAAGAATAAAATGGACCTTTAGTATCCAATTCATTTATCCTTGAACGTATTCCTCTGTTAAGTGTATGCAGAGTATTACCTTTCCTGAAACACAACCATGCATCGGGTTCATTGCTTCACGTGAAATTGTTTTTATCATATATCATATTTTTCATCATAGTTGGAAATTTAAGTGTCTGTAGTCATTTGAGCCGTGGCATCTGAAGAGGCCAGCCCCACGTTTCCACAATTTAGTATGAATCATGAACTACTCTTAAAATCAATCAATAAGAAAAATTTGCATATACATACCTGGTTCTTGGATTAAAGATATTGTAATGTTTTTATCACTCTCTGTTTAAATTTTTGAGGCAAGTGCATGTCCTTCCGTTCAACTGTAGCTTAGTTCCATGATGGACATCCGAAGTGAAGTTCAAGTGCGTTCCAGTGGGGGCCTTCTGGCCATATTAGAGAATGAGAGAATAGTAAACACCCTGGAGCAGAAGGAAAGTGGGAACATATCAATTTCTATCAACTCAATTGCTGAAATTCCATTGTATCTTTTGCCGTTTACTTTCTATTTAATGCATTTTTCAGGATTAAGTTCTTTCTTTATGATATAGCTGTGTCTTTTATTTGTGGAAGCTAGATCTAATATGCTCAGGTGTATTACTTAACAAACATGTGAAGAAATAATTTCCTCATAGTTGATGCTGTTGCCCACGAGGCATTACAAATATTCCAAACTGACAAGCATCCAAGTCATATGGGTATTGGTAGGGCAAAAGAAGGGTAAATGTCATAAGATGCTCCTGTCTTAGAGCATATGTATATGAATGGTGAAACCATTCTGCTGAAAGCATGCTTAAAACTAATGTACACTGGTGTCCTGTTTCAGGTTCTCGGTATATGGGATGATGAATAAGGTCTTGTGAAAGTTCTATCTTTCATCTTCCTGATCATAATGTCTCTGACTGAAATAAATTGTTTCAACTAATTATTTTTCTTGCTTTCAGTGTGTAACACCCATGGGAAGGCGTCTATTACGGTAAATTACTTCCTAGGTCTAATTTTACTGCACCTGTCATATTTTTTCCGAGTCCTCTGAATTTAATAGTCTCTTTTGACTAGGAACTGGTTCCTGAGGCCTATACTGGACCTTGAGAAGTTGAACATTCGTCTTGATACTGTATCCTTCTTGAGGCTGTACTCATTCAACTGTTACCATATCCACTTTAGTTGCTTCAAATTTCAAAATACTTGAGAATCACACTACACAATTACTGCAACCTCCATAACATAAAATAAAAAATACAATATAGATGAAAGAGTTTTGAGTGTATCAAGGTATATGCAATCGAGATAATTATCGTACACCAATAGTCTAATCAAAAGTTTTATGAGCTTGAGTACTGGGATTTTTAAGTTTTCAGTTGGGAATTTTAGTAGACTTGGTTTCATTCCATTTACTGTTTGTAAAATCTTTTGTTTGATTCATGAACTTGGTTACCTTGTGAATATTACTGCAGCGTTATTCTCAATGAGTCAAGATATCTTTCTTTCTTAATGCTGAAGAATTGTTGGTTTCTTTACGTCAAACTCTGAAATCTGTGAAAGATATTCCTCACATACTCAAGGTACAAAAGGCTTCTCTTAGGTTCTCTTGATTCTGGGCGTTGTTATGCCCACAATTAGATTTATTTTATTAACTCAAAAGGTCATACTATTACATTATGCAAAACTTGTCAGTCACTGTCGTCCCTTCTTCCTTCTTCTTTTTTTCCGGGATTGGAGGGGACCATTTTTTTTCTCAATGTTCTTTATCATCTAGAATATCTTCTCATGGTTTTAATGTAAATCTTTTTTGAAATTGTCAAAGAAAATCAACTCTCCGAGTTCTGTATGTACAACTAGTGACTGGACTGCGCTTCTAAAGGTATGATAGTATTCTTGATTGGATACTGCTGAATCAATGTATACTATTGGCAATTTCATCCTTTTGTATTTCAAGTTCTTTGTACTTTGCTGATAGGATCCTACATCTTTTTGGCTGCGTTATTATTAGAATATTATATTTCCTTTTTTTTTCCTTAATCTTTTGACTTAAGGGTTATAGTCGTTCTCTTTCTCTGTCTTTCCTTTTGCTCAATTTCCTTGAAGTAAAGAATTGTACCTATGGTTCAGTTTGTATTCATCATGGTTACAAATGATTTCAAATACATCCAGAAATTTAAGAAGTCAAAATGTCGTAATTTGTGTTAAAAGCAAACTAGTTTCTCTTCTCAGGATGCTTGCCTAACTCTATCGCACTTGCCCATTGGAGAAAAAAGTTGAACTGGACTCTTTTAGAAACCATATTCTAAGGATTAGATACGGCACGTGGAGATATATAATGGCAAGGACTATTTATTCTTAGGCATTTGATGGCTAACGAGGATAGGACACATGACTCAGCAATTATATTTGGATGCCAATGTTGCTTATATTTGTTATTTGTGCTTATCTTCTTTTAGTTTGCTTGTCCTCGTCATGTATTCCCTTCTTTACAAATATAACAGTAAGAACTTTGTTTTTATAGAGCATATGTTCATTGCTACACATCGACAAGATACTTGAAGTGGGCATTGTTGGGACATTTCAAGAGCAGTTGACACATTTAAACCTGGATATCATTGAGCAGGTATAACTGCTACCAATAGTTCTCATTATTTGTACAGTAAAATATTCTATAATAGTTTATTTGTTTCCATGGTTTTGATCATTGAACTCATCATCCATGGATTACACATAACTGCAGGCTCATCTTTACTTATCTACAGATTTGGCCTATGTATATGAGCTGGTATGTGTTGGTTCTTTGCCTATAATACCCACGCATACATTTATTTCTCCATTTGATGTCTCCCTTTCTGTTGGCAATCTTATTTTATTGACCATAAGTGATACAATATATGGTCCCCCATTTATTTATTTATTTATTAATTATTATTATTATTATTATTTTTTTTTCGTATTGTTGTAGAGTTAAAATTAGTAGGTATTTCCAAATGTTATTTATTGATTTTTTTTAACCTTTTAAATCCAACATATGACTGAGAACCTTTGGGCTTGTCATTATTTTTAGAAAATTATGCTTGCACATAAAATTCAGTTTGAGTCAAGAAGATTATGTTTGGATATTCCGAGAGAAAGGACAAACCTGGTTTCTTGGAGAACTAAAGAATCAGAATACTCGATAGGACGCTTTAAGTTAAAGTGAAAACATTCATCCTGGTCCTTCAATGTCAACTACATATCTAATGATATGCCTTTTCCATAAATGCTACACACATTGTACTTATACACTGGTCTCTCGAAATGGTTTGATTTGAATGCCTAAGGACAACAGTAGGAATTATATAATCAATATATTTAGCACAAACAACTTAGTGACAAATGATGGAATAAAATTTAATATTACATCTTGTATTTTCAAGATCATTCAAATTTTACCAACCTCCGTGTGAAGTTATGAGATAATATCACTTATATCTTAAACTATTAGTATTATCGTTGACAGGCTTGGACAAGCCATGTCTGTACGTTTTAACATTTTTGTGTTGTTTTAGACATTATTCAGCATTTATGTACATCTCATTAATAATTATTGTTACATGTGTTTTTCTTTTTTTTTCTTTTTTTTTTTTGGTTTGGTTGAAATTTTGATAGATCAATGGCGTTATAGATGTAAACCGAAGTAAAGATAAGGGTTACGAGACAATTGTGAAAGATGGCTTTTGTGGGGAGGTGAGATATATTTCGAGTTATAATACATTCTATGACTTCAGTGTGTTTCTCGGTCTGTATTGCCAGTCGTTGTGGTTAATTTAATTCATGCAGTTGGACGAGCTGAGGCAAATATACGAAGAATTACCCGAGTTTCTGGAAGAGGTGCTATGATTTTTCAGTTGCGTTGGAGTGGGAATATGAACATCTGCATGATATGACCATATTACCTTCTCTTACAGGTGTCATCCCTTGAACTTGCGCGGTTACCGCATGTGTCTCGGGAGAAATTCATCCCTAGCATTGTTTATATACATCAGATAGGTTCGTTTGAGCTAATTTGTGACTTATATTTTATTCTGGTTGTGGAAGTCTACAATCCTGTCTTTAAGAGGATTTTCCAGTCTGATAATTTTTTGTATTTTTTGTAGGAGATGTGTGAGCTCTATTTCTCTATGCTCTTAGCCTTCTTGTTTTTCTTAATTTTCTTTTTACAAATATTCCTTAAGTTTGATTGTCATTTGTTACTCTAGGAAGAAAACCACCAAAGTTAATAACCTTCAGTAACAAGGAATGGCTTCTTTATTATGTGAATGCACTCCAGAACATACTTCTTTATTATGTGAATGCACTCCAGAACATACTGTCATATTAAAAATATAGGGTACCAATAATCTTTGTTGAAAAATGATTCTGGCATTAATTGGTCTTAGATTCGTGAGTCTTATCAATGTGTGTAAGATTTTTGAATTTGTCAAACTTGATGGCTCAACACGTAAAGCTTTGCATGATGTATGATTAAGCTCTAAAGGTTTTAATTTTTGTTCAGGATCTTGTAAATTGGAAAGGTGGGAGGAATCTGAAAATCTTTGAAACGAGCAGGAGTATGAAATCATCATACATGAATGTTTAGCATTCCAACTAGTTATTATCTTGAACATCATTTATTTTTCCTTTTTCTTTTCTCTTTGAGCATTTAGGAGACACTTTTTTGCCAGATTCTTGTTAGATGTGCTAGATCTGTCAAACAAAAGTTAGTCTTTATTTGTGGTGCAGGCTACTTAGTGTGCATTTTTGAAGAAAAACTTGACGACAACATTCTAGAGAAACTTCAGGACTTCGAATTTGCTGTAAGTCATAACTTATATGTCGTGCAGTTTTATTATCTATGCAATAGGGATTATATTTTGATTTGATAAGCTTATGTTTGCTGAAATTAATAGTTTGCTGATGAAGATAAAGACTCCAAGAAATTTTTCTATCGCACTGAAAAGACACGGGAGCTGGATAACCTTCTGGGAGATATATATCACAAAATTTTGGGTATGTTGAATGGAAATCCTACAATAATTTTCCCTTAAAGTTTGCTTAACCAGCTGCTATTTCTCAACCATAGCTTTAGTTCAAAGTTGTTTATAAGTGATATTGACAGTGCCAATGAGTTGCTAGCCAATTATCCTGAAGGCCCGTTTTTTCTGATCTTGATTTATTACCTATGGTCTTATGCCATCATGAATCTAGCATACTTATTTGTTTTAGTGTTTACAGCATGATGTTCTCTTTTCCTCTTTTATGGTTCTCTATTGCAAGACATGGAGAGGGCAATTACCAGAGACCTTGTCATTCATATTCTTGAATACTCCGATCCATTGCTTAAAGCTGTTACTTTTGCAGCTGAGCTTGATTGGTGAGCAAACTACAGTGTTATGGTCCATTTCATTTCTTTTCTTGTGCATCACTATGATTTACTTCGATTCTACACCTTATTGTGATTCTCATGTAATTCTTCATCCAGCTTTCTGTCATTAGCACTAATCGCTCGTCAAAACAACTATACGAGACCCGTTTTGACTTCAGAAAGCATCATTGATATCAGAAATGGAAGGTTTGAGCAGTTCTAAGTAAAAATACACGGTGTAGCTATACTAATTTTCCTCAAGGTATTACAGAGATTTGCTTGCTATCAGGCATGTTTTGCAGGAAATGACAGTTGATACCTTTATCCCTAATGATACAAAGATTCTGGATGACGGTATTGTGACAAACTTACCTTTTTCAATCTCTCCTGTTGTGTTGGCTACTATGGAGAGCTAATGACATGACTATTCAGGAAGAATCCATATTATCACTGGACCTAATTATTCAGGAAAAAGTATCTACATTAAGCAGGTTGGTAAAAATGGATTTTATTTTTTAATCCGATATTTCTCTTGCAGGATTGTTGACTTCCAAGTTTTGTTTGCCTTACATTTGTTTCATCTATATTTCAAAAAATTATAGAAAAAATAATATGCCAACTTAGACGGTCCTCCGCCACCCCTGCTAGCATCCAGTGAATTCTACAACCTTGTCTCTTAACAGACTATTAGTTGCTATGAGTGAAGCTAGTACGACAGTTACAGATTGAAGTCCTAATTCTAGCAATTAATGTGCAATTCCGAATTCATTATTTATTTAAATCAGAAAATACACTTTATGTGGTAAACAGGAATATCACATACAATTCCAAACGAAAAGCATAATAAAATGTTAAAAACAATCTTAGAACATAGTCAAAAGAAGTCTTTCAACAACCCTGAAATTGAAAATAAAAGCCTATCTTGTAGTATTCAATCACGAATACAATAATAATAGTATCTATGTTACTTCCGGTATAAGTGAAGGAAAGTAGCACAAGATTAATTCTCCTCCAGTCCGTTTAGCCTTGTAGGTCATGGCCATGTGTGTGCTGCTTGTGTTGTGTTCTCCTTTCCAATCCCAATCACTTCCAAAATCTGTGCAGCCTTCCTCATCCGGTCATCCCATTTTCCCCTTCAAAAAGTGGGTATGGTATGTCAAAATTCATGTCCTGCTCCAGCCTTCCTCATTCCTTTTTTTTTTTTTTGTCCCTTTTTTCGCCCAGTAGTACTCAGGTAGCCAGTGAAATCTCAAGAAATCTCTTGCTCCAACATTGGGCTTCATTCTCCTCATCAATAAGTGATGCAACCTCGGTCCATAAGACTGGGCATTTTTGTAGCTCAAATTACGAGCTTGGGTCAGTATGGGCTACCCATTACCAGTCCTCTGGAACTTCAGTCCAGTGTCGCCCATAAAAAATACACAGACACTGGAAATAAGTCGTCAAACACCAAATTCTGTGGATTCATCTGAATAAAAAAAATAATTCTTAAAAGTAAAAAGTGCGACAAATTGAGCGCATGCAATTACTCTTAATCAAGTAATTCACATTTTTTCAACTTTTCACGTAATTTTCTAAAATTTAATCAGGTATACACATAAAGACAGTTATTATATCCCCAGGAATAGATTCACTCAGTTTCAGAGTCTTAGGTGAAATAGTTAGCTGGTTGAAGACGTATATTAGTGAGTTTTGTGATGCATAGCATGGCTGGCAAATCAAGAACAGTAATGTTTGTTTTGTCACACTAGTGTATATATATATTAGATGGCTGAAAATCATTTGTCATCGTGATTCCTATACTTATTTGCTTAAAATTGATTTGCGTTTCAGGTTGCCTTGATTGTTTTCCTCTCCCACATTGGAAGTTTTGTACCAGCTGATTCAGCCACCGTGGGTTTGACTGATAGGTTTCATCATTTTACTTAATCAATCTCCTTTTCTGATCATCCCTTTCGAGAGGGCATTGATAGTATCAATTATGGTCGGTAATGATGCTGCCATCCATATAAATAGGATATTTTGTGCTACTGGAAGCAAGTTTATGACTGCTGAGCAATCAACATTTATGATTGACCTCCAACAAGTGGGCTTAATGTTGAGGTATGCTAAAAAGATGTAAATAGCATATATTCGCACTGGACTTTTAGTAACAGTTGTGTTTGTGAAGAAACTTTTGCTTCTGTTGTATGTTTGGACAGTAACACTATCATCTTATGAATGTATTAGCGTTGACGATAATTCATATAGATATATATTGATTTATTTATTTACCATTCTTCAGACATGCAGGTTTTCAGTCTTTATGTCTGATGGATGAATTTGGGAAAGGGACTCTCTCTGAAGGTTATTCGCTAGACAGTGGATAAATCACGAGTTCTTTTCAGAACTGCTGTAATCACATTTCCTATTTGTTAATTTCAGATGGTATTGGTCTTCTTGGTGGAACCATTAATCATTTTGCTTCGTGCGATAATCCCCCGAAGGTATGGCATCCTTTATACGTTCAGTGCGATTTATGACCCTTTTATTTTGATTCATTTTATTTTTTATTTTTTTTAATCGGTTGTTTCCAAAAATGAGGGGGAGAAAAGACCTAATCTCTCTGATGTCTGAGGGATGTTGCAAGAATCAGAATCATTAATATATATAATGAGCCAGAGTTGTCCATTTCTCATTGGACAAATTGATTATTTAGCAAAGAAGGCACCAAGAATTGTGCTCTTATTGGTCCTGGGTGAATCATTTGGTTAGTGCTGATAGCATTTCCAATGCTTGATGTATTTGGTGGAAGAGTATAGACTAATTTGACAGTGTGTGGGGTAAATGGGTGGGAAGTAGTTTCCTGTGCCACTGCCACGATATATGACATATATAGGAAGGCCAAATGTCAAAGAATGTTCATTAATGTTGTCTTATCTAGTTTCATTTTCTCCGAGTGTATCAAAGTGTAAAGATTTAAGGACTTATACCTGGATAACATAATCTCTAGTGATATTTGGATAAAACATTGCCACAAAACAATTATTTTTACCTTCTTTGGTTGTCGAGCCACAGATAAGCGTCCTGCAATGTTGTGCAGGTTGGCTATGGTAATGTTGTAATTATATAAGGTCTAGGTCCAAGTGCAAATCATGCTTCACGTGAGAACATGAGAACTACTAGAATACATTATATGTTATTCTGTTTTTCTTAGTATATGATCCTGTTTTTAGCAGTGATGCTTTAGCACTGTTAAAATAGCATCACATGACCGATCCATATCTTACATAGGTGTAAGTGTACATATGTATGTTTGTATTTTACATGAGTCTATTAAAGTTTAGACATGTCTGATGTCTGCCATATAAATTTTCATCTCTGGCAGGTTTTGCTGTCAACACACTTGAGTGAAATATTCGAAAATGGCTATTTGCTGGAGGTAGCGTATGTTGTAGTCATTCTTGAATTTCATCTTTTACATAAAATTTTATTAATTCCTACAATTTCTAGCTCTATTTTAAAAAAAAAAAAAAATACTATTTAATATCTGCAGTCGAGCAAGATCAACTATTACACCATGAGCGTGTTAAGCCCAGACGACAATGGCACAGATGTTGAAGATATTGTGTTTTTATACAGGTAACATTATGCAGTATTTTACTCGATTAACGTAAGGTCAACCTTAAAGCAAACAAGTTAAACAAAACCCTTTAAGCAACCAAGGAATAATATATAGCATATCGGGTCCAAGGTTGCAGTGGAGTTTCTCTTCTTGAAATTAGTCTTCTATCCTTAATGTATGAATAAGACTATTACAAGTGGTCAACCTTTGGTGATGTTTCTTGATTGTTTATTCTGTACTTCACAGACTGGTTCCAGGTCGTGCTCGTCTTAGCTATGGTAAATGATCGACATAATTCTTGAAGCCAAAACAAAAACATAATTTCTTAATTAATTCCCATAAGTCATTTACTCTAATTTAGTAATTTTCCCTTGCAGGATTACATTGTGCCCTACTTGCTGGTATGTGTTCCTTAAGGCAAATGTGACAAATCAATATTTATACCTTTTGTCGTGAAAATTATATATGCATTCCGAAAAAATACTAAAAAATATTACCCACCAGTCATCACGTACATTTGTTAAATTTTACCCAGGAGTTCCTGAGGAAGTTATTAAGAGAGCAGCATATGTACTGCTTGCCAATGGAGATAACAAGAATGTCGAGAGACTTCTGCATGAGAATATATCGACACAGGATCAGCAGTATAAGGTGTGCATAATTGGCTCGTTTTGTAATTCAGTGAGATCGTTTATTTCTTCGAAAACCCCCTCATTGAAGTTTGCAAACAAAATGCAGGAGGCTGTAGAGAAGATGTTGGCTTTTGATACTTCAAACGGTGACCTGAATCTCTTCTTTGAAAGTAACTTTCCTTCTCAGCATTAAAAGGTAACAAATGCAGCAACACATGAAAAACAGGTTGTGAGCTTTGTTTGACGAACTAGTTGTGATTGGAAAATGACATTCGAAAACTGATTTTTCGGTTAAGAAAAGTTTGGTAAGTTAGTACAAATCGATTCGGCATTGATAGGCTCAGTTTGCAAAACTGAAATTGATTCGGTTGGATAACTATTAATTCAGTTCGGTTACCGAATTAAACCCAGTTCAACCCTAGAACCGTAAACACATATATCATAGGTTTTAATCATCAATGCAGTATAATCCTTCCATTCCAAATTAAAGGTACTTTTAGGCTTTATCCTAAATTATCTGTACTTTTAGTTTTTTCCAAATTCAGTGTGATGTCGTTGACCTTGAAAATTCAAACCGAGTGCACTATTCTGTGTCTATTTTTGTCACAAGTAGATGAGAAAGTTTTATTTAAAAAGAAAAAATTATTTTAATAAATAAAAAAAAAAAATGTGAATAACTTGATTTTTGTAACATTTGGAAAGCATGTAGTGTTAAAGTTGAGTTTTTGAAACATCAAATGTCCAGTTTTAGTTACTAGTTACCATATATACCTAAAACTTGAACTGTTTTGATAAACCCACAGAAAATTAAATTATATTAACTCTAATCTATACTTATATTAAAGGGGATACTATTTACCAAATTAAGTAGCCAGAAAAGTCAACAGCATTTATTGCATTACTATTTCCGTATTATATTATATAAAAGGATATTCTATTTACTACATTTACTATCCAGAAAAGTCAACTGCATTAAATGTCATTACTATTTTGATATTATAATATTTTATTTATTTAGTTAATTTATTTATTTGTGTTATTTTAAAAGGTAAGTATAATAAAAAGATTTTAATAATATAAAAATCAAATACCAAATAAAAATGTACGTATTGACTTATTTGATTATATTTGGTAATTGATTATACTAAATATATTCCTATTTAGTATATACATTAAATACTTACTAAAGTATTTATTTGTTTTATTTGTCAAAGTTAAGTATAGATTTGTTTATATTATCAAATCATAAAAAAATATTAAATCCATATTGTGAAAAAAAATATTCATATAATTTTATAACAATTCTACTAAACTATTTAACAATATTCTTTTTTTATTATATAGTAAAATAATAATTAAATATTATATGGTGAACAACATTAAGTAAAACTGTTACTTTCTCTTATATCAAGGGATAAATTTATATGCTAAAATTAAATTTTTATTAGTATAAATATTTTAGTGAGATAATATATTAATTATTTTACAAGCTATCCCTAACATGCTCATATTTAATGTTTTAAAAGATGTAGAAAAAAAACTTATAATAACTCTATTGTTTTTTAGACTTAAACATTGATTAAAAGAGGTAAAAATTGCTATTCTTTTAGACTTAAACGTTGATTAACACCATAGATTAAGAGTTTATATTTAGTAAAATTCCTAATTGTAATAAAAAAATTAATTTTTGCTATACTTTAGAATATCTTTAAATTCATTATAAAAAAAAACAGAAAAAAAAATACTACAATGAAAAAAGCAAGTCAGCTATATATCGATTTGTTGTACTCCTCAAATCACATTCACAATTTGGCTACAAGGAAAGAAAATTCATTGATTAAAGTATTATTTTGTCAGTAGTCTTAATGTACAAGAGACTTTAAAACTCCACTTGAATATTATAAAACTTTTATTGAACATTGTACAATTTCTTGCGTATTGTAAACTTTTATTGAATATTGCATCTTATAATATAATATTCTCCAAATAAATATATCTCGTGCTTCGCACGTACTATATATATCCCGTATATTTTTCTTTATTCAAGTATATAATTATAAGCCTGAATAAATAGCCTTAAAATTGTGCACCCCGTGCATCACATGGGCTCTGTACTAGTGCGATATAATGAAAGTTATATTTAAAATGAAGTTAATCAAATATGTAAGGGGTCCGTTATTACCACTAGTATTTAGCTCGTGTAATGTACTAGACAACAGTAGTAGAATGAATAAATTGAATCAATGAGTGAATATCAATTAATTTCAAAAGAATATATAAAGTAATTTTATTATTCATATTTAAGTTTTATTTCCATGATAAATATAACTAATATATCCTTCGAATTTTTTAACTAAAAAATATGTAATTAGTTAATAATACGCCTAATTAATTTTTTTTCTCTCTTTTCTTATATATAATTTTATATCATTCTTAAAGTTAAAGTTCGAAATTTTGGTAATATTTTTGAAACAAATTTTAGTTTACGAATAAACTCAAGTCTCTTAAATGATACCAGTTTAAAATTGATGAGCATGAATTTTATACATTAATTTTTTTTATAAATTTCTCTTTAAATAATAATTTTTTAATAAAAAACTTAATATAATATTTATAATAAATACTTAACCTTTGTGCATCTATCTATCTATCTATATATATAAATCTTACCAATTAAAAACTTTGTATAATGAAGAAAAATCATATTGATATAGCTATACATGCATGGACCATAAATATTCTAAGTATGGGGAGCTCGACTGGAGTGGAAAATGACATGTCGAAGCGACCTAAAGATCATGAAGTTTGAACAACATGACGACCTTACCAACGGACGACCTGGAGGTTAACGACCTTAGGAAGTGAAGTCGACCTAGCCTTTAGGCGACCTAAGGGCTTTTTATCTGAATCGTGTTAGACGACCTAGGCAACCAGAGACTCGACACAACTCGACCTCGACTACTAGAATATGCGATGGACAACCTGTAAAGAGAGGAAACCGGCATAAAACAAGGATAAGAAGGAATCGTAAAGAGATAAGATGAAATCTAAAAGTAACTAGGAGGTGATTAGGATATAGATAAGAATCAAGCCCCGACAGCCGGACAGCTAGGCAAGCTGCCCATGGGCAGTCGGGCAGATTATTTCAGGCAGGTATTTCCCTGCAAAAAGTATTGAGGTACACCTAAATATGGACTTTTACATACTCCATGAATCATATACTACTCTAAGATTACAGAGCATCACCATCTTCTTCATTTTGTTGGCTTAAGCATCGGAAACTCTACGTCGGAATCCCCTCCGGCGTTGAGTTTGTGCAGGTCTACGCGCGGCGGTTCAGGCATATCGACGCTCTTCTCAACCAGTTCTACCTAGACCTAAGTAGTGACTCATCACATATATTGAGCAGTATAAAATTACAAAGATCTCTAATTTAAATGATGTCTTTATTAGTTAAATAAAAATTATAAAATTAATAATTAGTCATATTATTTCTTTTGTTGATTGACATATAAAAAAATGAATTGTTAGTGTTTTTCTTTTCCAAAAATAAAAATAAATACTATGTAAAGAAATAGAGGATGTTTGGATACAAAACTTATCAAAAAAATCTAAATATTTTTAACTCAACTACTTTTTTTTAACTCAACTTTAACTCAACCCAACTATCATTATTATTATTAATATAATTAAATAATATCAACCAATTAATACATACACATCACATCAACCTTAATTCACTATTCATCCACTAACATAATTTTAATTAATCATCACTTCAAATCATCTCTCTCATACTTTTACATCAAATCAACTTTAATTATTTTATTTAAAATATTATTTTAATATACCCACTAACAACTAACCATACCACCTTTTTTAAAATTAACCAAACCAAACTAAAAAGATCCAAACATATCCAAAAACTTTTATATCCAAGCATCCTCTTAGTCTTTTCATTTTTAAAAATAAAAGAAAAAGAAATTTGGTGAAAAAGTCCAAAATCACGCTATTGATTTAAATAATAGGGTAAACTCCACTTTTGGTCCTCCATGTTTAGGGGGTATCCAGACTGAGTCCCTATTATGTTTTGGTGCCCAATTTTAGTCCTTAAAACAAAAAAATGAGTCCCTATTATGTTTTGGTGCCCAATTTTAGTCCTTAAAACAAAAAAATGAGTCACTATTATGTTTTGGTGTCCAATTTTAGTCCTTAAAACAAAAAAATGAATCCCTATTATGTTTTTGGTGCCCAATATTAGTCCAAAAAAAAAATGTAGTCCCTTTACCTCAATTTCTGTGAATTAACGGTCCATTTTTGCTCGACTGTGATGTTCTTTATTTTTTTAAAATTTGTTGATTAATGTCAACTTTGACCAAAGAAAAATAAAAGAAAATTTAAATGCTGAAAATATATTAATAAAAAATTAAACTAAAACAAGAAATTGCACTAAATTAAATTAAAATTTTTGCTCGTCTGATTTCTATTTCCCTAGCATTCGCGCTGCGGAGCAAGCCTGGAATCACAGCTAATGCTCTTGCACCCATTTCCGGGTCATGCCATCGAAAAAAATTGCATCTATCAACCCTCTGTTTTTAACCATTTCTTATCATATTCCAATTGAAGTTCACGGAAAGTACTTACAGGATATAGAGGGCAACTCAAAAATCTTTTCCCGAGATTATCATCCTTCCAGCATGTAGTCAACTTTGCAACCAGCTCACATCTACAAAATACCACACCATTTCCATCCATTTGATCGGATTTAGTCCCTAGGCGGTTAGGTTTTTTTTTTTTTCTTACGTTTCACTGCAGTTCACTATTTCTGCCTTTTATTTTCCTTTTTCAGCATTTAAATTTTCTTTTATTTTTCTTTGGTCAAAGTTGACATTAGTCAACAAATTTTAAAAAAATAAAGAACATAACGGTCGAGCAAAAATGGACCGTTAACTCACATAAATTGAGGTAAAGAGACTACATTTTTTTGTTTTAAGGACTAAAATTGAGCATCAAAACATAATAGGGATTAAATCTGGATACCCCTAAACATGGAGGACTAAAAGTGGATTTTTTTCAATTATAGGGACTACATTTTTTTGTTTTAAGGACTAAAATTGGACACCAAAACATAATAGGGACTCAGTCTGGATACCCCCTAAACATGGAGGACCAAAAGTGGACCTTCCCCTAAATAATATATTAAACAGTGAGGAGTTGAAAAAATTCTCTCTCCCCGAAAAATTCCCAAATTTCCGTCCGATGAGCCCTAAATTCTCTTTCTCCTTGGTTGTGCCTCCCATCCGGCGACCCTCGTTCCTGCCAGCAGCGGTAACTCGCCCTGGGCTCGAAGGCACGCGGTTGTGGCGGTCTCGGTTCTTCCTCTCCAAAGTGGTTCGCCTCTCTTCCTGAGTGCCTGGAGTATGAGAAGCGACGGGTTTTGTCGGTGGCTGGGCTCCGACAGACGCCGCGGGGTTGGATTTGCAGTTTGGATCTAGTTAGCCTATTAGAGGAGTATCTGGTTCTTTCGTGTTTGGGTTGTAATTCTCGTATCTTCTCTCGGGTGTTTGCGCTTGGGTGCTAGTTTTAGCTGTGTTGGAGTTGGGTTTTCTTGCCTGGTGGGGAGGGCGTCAATTTT